GTCATTTCAACCGGTACTACAGACTACTACACATCTATTGCTGACTATCTTGCTGAAGTAGTTGGTAACAATCGCTCCATTGTGTATATACTAACTTTGTTAAAGATGTTGCAGCTTTGGCAATTGCTTTAAAAGGAAAAGGAATAATTAGTAGTAGCTATCATGGCAAAAATTTATCTAGCCATGACAAATTGTAGATAATTGAGGATCAGTGTTTTGATGACTCTGACACACAAGCAAGTGTATCAAGCATTAATTCTGTGTATGATAACAAATTTATATATATTTATAGCTAATGGTGTGCACTTCTGCACCTGGAATGGGTATAGATGTTCCTATTATAGACTTGGTTATTAAACTTGGTTGCTCACATACAGCACATTTGACGAATTAGTCCAACAGTTTGGAAGGGCTGGAAGACATGGCAGAAAGGCAAAGGGTATTTGAATGCTATGAAATTTATGTGATGCAACATAATTTTGGTACAGGTCTCCTTTTTTGTGAAGATAACCTCTAGCATGCTTTATTTTGGGGTAAAGATACATTGTGTAAGTCATAGGATGAGAAAAAACTGCAGTTATCAAAGTTTCAAGATGTTTGTAGGTACATGTATATCATTTTTATTACCATGTGCCATCAATTTTATGTTATACCCATATACAGGTATGCTTTTGTTCATCATCATTGACAAGATACCAGCTAGTCCTGTAAACTACTGGATAAAAGAATTAAATCTTCAGGAAAATGATTATTTACAGCTAGAAGGAACCCATCACCTTTCAGACAAGCATGTCATAGCTACTGCTAAACTACTGTCAAAACAATTCCCAGACATGCCAATGATTCAGTCGTGTTTGTATACTCAGAAACTAAGTCTCATTCAGCTGGCTAAAAATGATTCATTATTTTTCCACAACTTTGGGGACCATTGGGTTACTAGTCATTTTATGGATGGCATTGCTTTACTTTATGACTCCTTCTACACAGAGATCATTCACTCAGAGTTAAAGAAGCAGCTCAATGCCCTCAATGGATCTGCTATGGTAAAAGTACCGTGGTTGGTGAAGCAAAAGGTGATAAGGAATGTGCCTGCTTTGCAGTAGCATACGCAGTATCTATTCTTTATGTAAATGATCCTGCTAACAATATATTCGATCAGTCACACATGAGACAACACATGATTGAATGTCTCAAAAACATATTTTACATGCCATTCCCATCTATGACATGAAAATCATGATGCAATGTATCAGATTATGTTACCCAACTACATTGATTATTACAAACAAGTTAACAAATGTATGTTATTTAATGTTCAAAGTTATTGTATTGGTCTAGGTAGCTAATTATACTTGCAAAATGCATGGTGGAATGCTAAAGGTGACCAGATAAATGTTGCGTAGCTATCCCATATTGCAGGAAATTTTGGAGGGAGTTGAATTCGGCAAATTACTATATTTTGGTAATTGGCAAATTTGTGGTCACATACCATTGAGCATGCATATAATGGCTTGAAATGGTGGATTTTATTTTGGAGTTTTGCTATCAAAATGCCAAGTTCACCAACTTCAATTCCCTCCAAAATTTTCCACTACAGTATATGAGGGAAACTAAGTGCTGTTACATTTTGAAAAAAAGTGCAGAGGGCACAAATTCTTCCCCATAGTATTATAGAGACAAAGTAGTGCAGCAAGCATTAATTCTTCCCTTAAGTATTGTAGGAACAAAATAGTGCAGCAGGCACTAA